CAATAAATTTTATTCACTACTGTAATTACAATAGATGGGAAAAACTCTTGTCATTTTGAAAGTGGTAACCAGAAATTATGTACAATTCATCTCTGATATAGGAAACGTGGTTTTATTTGTCAAGAAATCATATTTTAAACTTCTATGTACAACCTTTAATTTGTTAATTTGGTGACATACATAATTTAATTGCTGTTTGTAAAGGGCCTGTCACACTATAACGTTTAAAACAGCTTTTGCCAACATGTGTAAATTTTGTTCAACACTTCAGATATTTATGCTGAAGATGGAATTTAAAAATGTATTCAAAGTCTATTTTTGAAGCATACATACTGTAATGCTAATGATTAGATCRAATATATAATCTGAATAACTAATTTAGTCTTTTTTTCACAAGATGGCACATAGATAGATGGATAGATAGATACAGCGGGTAAAATAAGTATTGAACACGTCACCATTTTTCTCAGTAAATATATTACTAGAGGTGCTAATGACATGAAATTTTCACCAGATGTTGGTAACAACCCAAGTGATCCATACATACAAAGACATCAAACATAAATGTCCAGAAATGAAGTTATTTGTAATAATGTGGAATGGCACAGGGAAAAAGTATTGAACACATGAAGAAAGGGAGGTGTAAAAAGGCATGGAAAGCCAAGACACCAGCTGAACTCTCTCAGTAATTAGAAAGCAAGCCTGCCCCTTGTCAGTGCAAGTTAATATCAGCTGGTTCAGTCCCAAATGATGGCCAGGTATCACACAAGAACCATCTGATGATGGGTAAAAGTAAAGAGCTCTCTCAAGACCTTCACAACCTTATTGTTGCAAAGCATAATGATGGCATCGGTTACAGAAGAATGTCTAAACTTCTGAAGGTTCCAGTGAGCACTGTTGGGGCCATAATTCAGAAGTGGAAAGAACATCATTTCACCATAAACTGACCACGACCAGGTGCTCCTCACAAGATTTCTGACAGAGGAGTGAAAAGAATTATCAGAAGAGTTGTCCAAGAGCCAATGACCACTTGTGGAGAGCTTCAGAAAGACCTGGAATTAGCAGGTACGATTGATTCAAATAAAACAATCAGTAATGCACTGAACCACCATGGCCTGTGTGCACACTCACCACGCAAGACTCCACTGCTGAAGAAACAGCATGTTGAAGCTCCTTTAAAGTTTGCTGCACAACATTTAGACAAGCCTGTGAAAAACAGGGAGAATATAATCTGGTCAGATGAGACCAAAACTGAACTGTTTGAATGCCATAATACACATCATGTTTGGAGGTCAAATGGCACTGCACATCAGCCCAAAAACACCATACCAACTGTGAAGTTTGGAGGTGGGAACATCATGGYGTGGGGCTGTTTTTCAGCATATGGTACTGGCAAACTTCAAATAATTGAAGGAAGGATGARTGGAAAAATGTACAGAGACATTCTTGATAAAAATCTGCTTCCATCTACCAGGATGATGAAAATGAAACGTGGCTGGACATTTCAGCAAGACAATGACCCCAAACACAAAGTCAAGGAAACTCTCAATTGGTTTCAGAGAAAGAAAATAAAGCTGCTGGAATGGCCCAGCCAACCACCTGACTTAAATCCAATAGAAAATTTATGGAAAGAACTAAAGATCAGAGTTCATAGAAGAGACCTAGGAAACCTTCAAGATTTGAAGACTTTGTCTGGAAGAATGGGCCAAAATCACACCTGAGCAATGCATGGGACTGGTTTCTCCATACAGGAGGCGTCTTGAAGCTGTCATTGACAACAAAGGCTTTTGTACAAAGTATTAGATAAATTTCAGTAAGCGTGTTCAATACTTTTTCCCTGTGCCATTCCACATTATTACAAATAACTTCATTTCTGGACATTTATGGTTTGATTTCTTTGTATGTATGGATCGCTTGGGTTTTTACGGACTGGTGAAAATTTCATTTCATTAGCACCTCTAGTAATATACTGCATTTACTGAGAAAAATGGTGACGTGTTCAATACTTACTTTACCCACTGTAGGTAGGTAGATGGATGGATGGACAGATAGATGGATAGATACAGTAGATGGATAGATGGATGGATAATCTTTATATAGGGTTGGAAAATAGCATTGTATGCAATTATTCATCAGTAAAACTGTGAAAAATGAATATTTGCCACTYGGCAATTACTTAATTTAATGCCAAATGATGACATATTTTTGTGTGCAACACACCATCACTATCAGGTGTGCAAGTTAGCCCAATAATAGAAGATGGTGGGGCGCAGCTGATGCTGACCCTAACCTTACAAACATGTTTAATCATCTGAAACAATGACTTAAACCGGAGAATGAGGAAAACCAGAAAATGCAATTATAATCTGTAAATTTTATATTAATTGCTATTGGGTAAATGCCACAATCATGATTTATTTTTTAATTTTGTGTCAGTATTTCCCAGCCCTACTAAAAACATTGGTATTTGTTTTGTTTGTGACCTTGGGCCACAAAATGATAGACCTGAAAATTCTAACTTAGTTTATCTGAAGCTGGATGCAGCTGCCGTTTGTGACTGAACTGACATTAGTGCAATGATATTTACTTGACTGTACCCCTGTGGACAAAGAAAGACCACGTTTAATAGTAGGATGCATCCGATGATGCGTTAATGATGTCTATGCAGCCTTCTTGCTGTGTCTTGCRACAAAGCTGGTTGCCTTCAGCTCAGATCTCAGGTGAGGAAAGGCCTGGAATCACTCATCCTGACAGCCACATCTGGCGCTACTTTCTCTGTCCTGTTGCCCTCAGCTCTGCTCCTGCAAACAGACACCACTCTGATTTAACCACAGAGGGAAGGAGTTACGGTAATAGCGGTTATGATAATAACATTATTGTTGGTTATTAATGAGATGGAGAACAGACAGTTTGTTCAGGAGGAAAAAGCTTGTGAACAGCGGTGTGTGTACCACTGTTCCTGCTGGCTATTGTTACTGTTGGCATTTTTTTCTTCCTTTTTTGGGGGGACTTTGTCCTACTGATAGCTGATTAATGCCAGGTGTAACAAAAATACTTTGGTCTCTCATTGTACTCCATGGGTTTTACATAACCAGCTCTCAATTGGAATTAAAGTCTTGCAGTAAATGCTGAGAAAAGGAGCTCATATATGATTTATAAAGCATTGTTTAGAACTCAAATGTGTTTTTTATTTTTTAATTTTGAGGTTAGCATTTGTTATTTTTTGTTATATCTAAGTACTAAAATGATACGCTCTTAGCAACTTTGCAGTGATTCAGAAAAAGAACTTAAATGCACCTCTCTGCTTTTGTCTCTAATCTGTATTTAAAGAAGCTACTATTTGGCATACCCAGCTGGTGCCAAATCTAAATTTTATGGTGTTTTTTTGTAACAGGAACTAAATTAATCCAGTCTTCATCTGGTTCCTGTTGAACCAAGGAAGTAAGGGTCGCAGTTCGGGGCAATTTTTACCTTAATGGAATGACTCCAAACAGATTACATTTCAAAACAATAGCCGAAGGTATCCAAGAGAAGCTTGCGGTCACACCTTAAAATATAAACAAATATTTTTGGCACTCTCACATATGTCAGCATCTGTGGTAGGCCTTTATCCTTTTCTGTGTAGGGGATGGTGGGAAGTGTGTGTGTGTGTGTGTGTGGGGGGGGGGGGGTCTTTTCTGATGGAAACAACAGACATTAAAATGAGTGAGACTTCAGCTGCAGAGCCTAACTGTCAGGAGTTGGATGCTTTGTGGGGCGCAGCACCACAGGTGTCCATGATGGGAAAATGAGCCTGCCTGGAGTCTGACTGCATGTTGCTGCAGGAAGAAGAAACTCTGCTGCTGTTTGCAAAACGACTCACTTATAACTTCAGCACTTTGTGAAGGATTGATTTCCTGCGAAGCTGATGAATAGTCCACAGTTGGCACAAATAATTCATGATCTCATCACAGAAAATGTCTTGTGCTGTGTCTGGATTCAGAATGTGTGTAGTTTTATAAAGTGCTACATCAAAAAACAGTAGTCAAACTCAAAAACCAAGTTAAGATAAACTGTCCTAAATATTTTTTATCCTAAATGTACTTTTATTGCAGAATATTTTTGATAAATTGATATTAGAGCAATTCAGCTAGAGAGTCTCTTCCTGTAAAATGAATTTACTTGCATCATCTCGGTCTCAGTTTGCTTTTCTGCAGCTTATGTTGACTCAGTCGAGAGGCTGCTGAATGATGCTGAGAGCTGCTGCAACAGCAACATGCTGAGAAAGGAAGCATGAGACACACCAGACTGGTGTTGGCTCGTTAGCTAGGGCTAATTGGCCACTTTAAAACTCGACATTATTTTTCTGCTTGATTAAATTATAAAATACCAAATTTATTTTGAAAGATTTCATTTCAGTTGATAGCTTCGCTTTTGCTCATGTAAAATTACAGAATGAGAAATTACAATTAGAATGAGGAAAGTTTAAAAGTTTTCCTAATTTGGATTACTTACTTTGAACAGTGATATTA